TTTTTTTTTTTACCGAACCCAGGCGCATCGAGCAGAGCCGACGTTGTTCGCAATTTTGACATGTGTCGAGTAGCGGGTCCTCGACGCGACCCTGACCATCAGCGCCACCCATCCTGCATCTCTTGCCGTCCACGAATCTACCCTTGCCACCTCCTTTAAACCTTGTGTGGCTGCTGCGTAGACATGTCTCGCCCACTCCGCTTTGTCGTGAATGCATGGCCGTGCTGGGCTGCAAGCCGCTGCCCTGTGATGCACATGCTTCGGAGACGGGAGTGAGGCATCCATCGCACCACGCTCGCCCGCCCACGGGTCGATCCCAAAGTCCGTGCCTGCCTTGCGAGACACTCAAACACTTTGGTCTTACCCAGACCGCATGCTCTAACCTAGTCGACTGCAGATCGCAGTGCATCGCCTTGTCCATTGATCTCTGGTAGCAGGCTGCATACACTGTCTTTGCCGCCGCTAACCAAAGCTGGCGCCATTTGGACAAGTGCGATCTGCAAACGTGGAGTCTTGCCCTGCTGCAGCGAAAGCCACGGTGCAGGCCCGCTCGTTTGGTAAAGATCATTGTGTGCCTGCTCCGGATGTGTGATCCGTCTCTCGTCCAATCAGCCTGACAGGCGTGCAAGCCTCTTCGGTATCTCTGTCCCGTCTAGCAAAGAGCCTGCAGCCGCTTCTTGGCGCCCGTATCGAAGTCCAGCCGTAGCTCAATGCTTCCTTCATATCCACTCCCTGACCACCTTCGACCACCTCTTCTTCCACTTCTTACTCTAACGGCGAAGTTCGGAGCAGCCCCCTTTTCTTTTCTCTTCCTCTTCATTCGGCTGTCTCTTTCACCTTCTTCAACGACCTTTTTACGCTTTGACGATTCGAGCACCTCCAGCAGGTCTCTCTGACGCACCTTTCACCGCATCCTGAACTGGCTTCAGGTGCTTCTCTTCACGAACCTAACGTCTCCTGTCTGACTTGCTTTTCAGCTGCATACATCGACGATTTGCGCCCCTCTTTCATCCCTTTCACGACCTCTTTGGCAACAGCTGGCTCGTCTTCATCGAATCACCTCCCATTCGGCACCCTTCTTTCTACTCACGACCCTCTTGCTAGCTGAGCTAGCTCCTACGGCTCGATATTTCCTCTCCTCACCCTGTTCATTGCTCTTCAACACTTCTACATTACTTCGCCACTTGGGAATTCCACCAACACCGAGGTGTCGTTCACCTTACTTCGGCTTGGCCACCTTTTCGTTTCACGACCTGTTCATCAAGCTACACCCAGCACCGCCCAAGCAACCCTGGATGCAGCAAAACTGAAGCATCCATGTTCTAAGCTTCGACCCTTCACGTTCCCCATTCACGACTTTAACGACCTCTTTTAGCACGCCGTCTTATGCTCTGAGCTCAACGTACATCACCATTTTATCTGAACGATCAGGAACACTACTCAACACATAACTCCACCGCCTTTCAGACATAACACCTCCCCGCCATCTGACCCGCCACAAAGTATAGCTGATTTCAGACAGCAACAACACTCGAGGAACCCTGAACGCAAACATGTCTGGAACCGGTCGACGCAGGGAACGATCAGCCACCGTCTCTGGTTCGGCACAGCTTAATCAGCAGCGCAATTTGGGCTCGAGTGTCAGTGTGGCCTCTTCATCGGCACGACAGGAACAGATGCGTGACGCCACCCTGGCTGCAGAGGAGGCGCTTCGAAGTTACCAGCGGGAGATGCAGCAGTCTCCGGCTTCCTTTCCTTACCAGGTGCAGCGACAGAGTCCACCGTCGCAGCACGTCCGTCATGCATCCGCCACAGTTAGCTCGGCGAGCCAGCTACAGAGAATCCCAGAGGCGAACTCCGAGTCGTCTTCCGGCGAGGCGGCCGGTCGCGCAGCACGCAACAGCACTGACACTCCGCGTGCGCTCAGAGCGGGCGACCGTGCCGGAGCAACAGGGGCACTCGGGCATGGCCGGTCAGTGTCGATGGGGGACACCTACGGCGCCCTTCCGCGGAACTTTGATCCGATTACCGGCAGGAAACAGGCTCCGAGGGGTGAGGTGCGCAGACCTAGCCTGCCGTACGTTTTCTCGCCCATGTCGCAGGGCCAGCCTCAGCAGGCGGCCGCGACGGGACGAGGTGACTTCCCGAACCCACACGGCGCTGGACCTTCAGACTCGCAGCTCTCAACTGCTCAGCTGCAACGTCGTGCTAGCCAGGATATGCAGTCGCCGCTCCTGTCGCGTCACGCTTCCAGCTACCAGCAGCACCAGAGAAGCGACAACCAGACCAGGAGCCCACCACAGCACCTTCAGGCCGACAGGCTCCAACGAGACATCCCGCCTACTCCACCACTGGGATCCAGCTCGCGACCATCTGGAGTCCAGACGATGCCCCTGTCGATCAACAAAGCGAGGCAGTCGCAGCCCCAAACTCAGGCGCCCTCGACCTCGTCGGTATGGTCCTCGGAGACCGAATCGGAGCCGACGCCCACGGCGAGCAGCGTGGCAGCTATGCGCGAGCGCAACGCCCAGCTCGAGTCGCAGCTCCTTCCCGTCCAGCTTACTCTGCCTTCGACTTTCTCCTCTTCATCCACCCTTGCACCCAACCCGCTTTCGGCGCAGCAGGCAGTGATTTCCGGCACGCGATTCGGGCTGCAGCCAAGTCCCCAGCATCAGCAGCAGCAGCGACAGATACCAGTGGCGGTGTCTGCTGCCGAGGTGGCAAGCATCAAAGCTTCAGCTGCGCCATTCGCTCCTGCGACGCCGTCGAAGCTTTCGGCTCCGCCCATCCGCTCCAACTCGAACGACACAAACTACTCGGGTGACACCATCGCGCTCCCCGATGGTACGCAGATCCCCACCGTCCGCACCGACTTTCAGAACCTCAAGCGTATCAGCCTGCCCAAGCCCGCCGCGACCGCAGCCAATGTTGCAGTGGAGAAACCGAAGCAGGTGCAGCCTGAGGCGGTTGCCAGTGTAGGCGGACACGTCCTGTCGCGCGCCGATGCCAAGATCGTTGCGCGCAACGATGGGTCGTCGCGAACAATCTACTCGCCCACGCCGCAAACCCTCGCTGCCGCTAGACGCCAGTCGACGCTTTTGCAGGTGCCAGCTGCTGCTCACCCCGGCGGCGAGACGCAGGTAGACCAGAGAATCCCGTCTCCACTTTCGGCGTCCGTCGAGGCTCCAACTGCTCCGCAGATCCCGCATGCGCTCAAGTTCCGCAAGTCCGAGCCGTCGATCAGAACGCCGCCTCAGGATCCGCAATCCATGCAGACGGAGGTCAGGGTCGCTGATGTGACCAGCGATGCCGTGGGCAAGGAGAGCAAGAGCGTATCGGGGATGACGCAGGCCAAGTCGGACGACACGGATGTGCGCAAGCGCGACAATGATGTCGGCTTCCGCGGCGACCCTCGCCGCAACACGTTCGGCGAGCTGGCGCCTAGCATGCTCGAAGAGGCCAACCGCAAGCTCTTTGTATACCAGATGCAGCAGCTCGACGACGATGCTCGCGAGAAGGGTGTTGGCTCTTCGCGCCAGCACGCAACTGTGCCTACTTCCGGTGGTACCGCGCCGCGCGAAGCTGCCAGAAAGAGCAAGGAGTCGAGCGAGAAAGGAGGTCAGACCGACTCGATCGGCCCACAGGCGGCGCAGATCGTGCGCCGCGAAAGCTCGGCCTCGCAGCGTAGCAGACGCGACTCGATCGGGTCAGCAACTACCGCCTTCGACTCTCCGACCAAGGAAGACTTTCCCTCGGGCCTGTTCCGCCAATCGAGCGGATCTGGCGGCGGCAAAGGTGGGCGTGGCACGGCGCGCAATGTGGTGGCGCCGCCAAGCGATGTTCCCGAGATGCAGGAGCCCGAAGACGCCGAGGCGCCCCGGAGCGAGGACGACGATGGGACCGAGATCGACGACCAGGAAGAGCCCTTTGATCTGTCGCTCGAGAAGCGCGTTCCGTTCGTCGTCGACACGTACGCGAGCAGCCGTGACGCGGACGACTTTGATATGCGTGCGCTGCGCCACGGCCAGCAGGGCGAGAAGGGCGAGTTCCGCTTCATTCCAATCTCGTCGGTCAAGGCCGGCAAAGCACGACGTCCGCGCACGCGAGACACCCGCGTCTCGTTCCGCAGCAACCCGTCTCACACCGACCAGCCGCGGCCTGGGTCGCGCCAGCACGGTGCGGCTCCCGCATGCCGGCAGTGCTTCCGCGCGGGCTTCGACTGCGCCATGAACCTGCAGCTCGGCGAGGGCACCGCTGCACGCAAGGCGTTCCAGGACTTTGTCGCCGCCGGCGGCCTCAATGCCATTTCGATCCGAGACGGTGCCGCGCCCGGCAACCTCGCCGGCTCGATCGCCGACAGCCAAGGTGGCCGCGGGAGCATCACGGTCGAGGAAGCGCTCGGGCGCAACTATGTGGACAAGCTCGGCGAGGTGGCATTCGGCGAGTCGGCGCTCAGCCGACCCGTGACGCGCGGCATGTACAACGAGCTGCTTGAGGAGAAGCAGGAGCAAGAGCGACGGAAGCAGATGTACACGGACCACAA